TACACATGGCGCGTCCATAATTAATTATGGCTCCCGTTTTAGATGAGAGGTTCTCGCTGGTTTAAAACAAAAATAAAAGCCACAAAACAAAAGCCGCCAAGGACCCCAGTTTACCACCTATCACTCTTTGACACACTGTCAAAATAAGACTACAATGCAATTTTCATAGATTAAAATACTCGTTCACAACCTCACGGCTACATGACGAAAACTGAGATTTCGACATATCTTTGATGTAAGCTGTTAACTGACTAGAAGTGGCGCATTCATTTAAAACTCAAGTTCATATGAGCGGGTCTCCACGGTTTAAACCCTAAAAACGAACAAAGCAAAAAATCAGTCCAATAAAATGCGGCCAAAGACCAGTATTCTCGCCTTATGACACCATGAGACCAACTGTCGAAACAAGACAACATTGCCACATTCATAAATTCAAAACTTTATTCTCTACCTGACAAGCCACACAATGGACACTGAGATGTCGGCATGTCTTTGATGCAAACGGCCGTTGTCACTGGATACGCAATTCGCTCCCCGTGTTTGGCTGTTTTGCCAAGTGGCAAGATCTCACTGAGATGTCCACATGTCTTTGATTTAAACTCTTTAATTAGAACCCATTTTAAAAATCCATTGGCGTTCTTATGTCCCCATCAACACAATTAGGACTATTTTAAAAAAAAAGCGGGCTTCGACCCTTCTTGTCCGGGTCTACACGGGATAAGAGAGATACAATGTCCCTACAAATAAGACCGAGATACAACATAAACATTTTCCCAACACGAGAATCAAACATGGGTCTTCTGCGTGCTATAAAAAAACGCCTAACCTTTAAACCAGAGATACCAGTTAAGTCTCTTTCAAACCAGCTGGTTTTTATTGTTAAACAACCAACAACTTAATCAACAACAACAACAACAACAACAACTACAAAAACAACAACAACAACCAGAAACACAAAACAAAAGCGGCCAAGAACCCCATGTTCTTACCTCCTGACACCAATAGATTAACTGTCAAAACAAGTCTACAATGTCATATTCATAGGTTGAAAACGTTCTTCACTGCCTGACCAGCCACAAGACGAACACTAAGATTTCGACATGTCTTTGATGTACGCCGTTGGTTGACTACGCCAACAGCATTCATTTAAAACTCCCTTTTCAGACGAGCGCGTTTTCGCTGGTTTGAAAAAAACCACCAAAACCCGGTACAAAAACAGTCAAAGAAGTCATGTTCTCACCTGAGGTCACTCTTCGACCCACTGTCAAAACAAATACAACAATGCCACATTCATAGATTCAAAACTTCCTTCACTGCCTGACTAGCTAGCAGGGGTACATATCGGACTGTGAACAGCAGATAATATGTCTTTGATGTAAGCCGCTGGTTGACGACACATTGTCATTTGATAGAACTCATTTGTAAAATGTGTATTTTTACTCCCCAATCAACACGATTTAGATAATTTAGGAGACGGACTTTGACCCTATTTGTCAGGACTAACCCGGGCTGTGAGGGATACAACGTCTCAACAAAAAAAGACTAAGTCACTAAATTATTAGTTACAACTTTTCCCCACATGGGAATCAAGATCAGGTCTCCTGCATGCGACAGCAAGGTACACCACACACGCCTGTATTCATTAGACAAGCGGGTCTCATTGGCTTAAAAAACACAAACATTCTAACCTACAAAAGAAACGCGGACAGGAGGACACAAGATAGAACCACAGTCAAAACAAGACAACAATGCCATATTCAAAGATACAAAATGTACCACCGAAAGAAAGCATGACCCAGTAATTCATAAACCCCCAGCTCCCCCCCCCCCTCGCCTTCGGGAATCGAACGTGGGTCTTCAATGAGCGACAACAAAACGCCTAACCGTTACATCTGTGCGGGCCGTGATTCTCACCTTCAGACACTCTTCGAACCACTTTCAAAACAAGACAAAGCAATATTCATAGGTTCAAAAATTTGTTCACAACCTGACTAACTACATAACAAAAAAAAAAGAAAAAAGAAGAGATTTCGAAGTGTCTTTGATGTACGCCGCTAGTCAACTACACATGCCACATTCATCTAGAACTCTCTTTCAGACGAGCGGGTCTCCCTCTTTTTCAAACAAACAAACAAAACGCTCAAAACAAAAGCATACCAAGACCCAGTTATCACCCCCTGTCACTCTTAGACCCACTGTCAAAACAAAACTACCATGCCATAATCATAAATTCAAAACGTGGTGTTCTCTGACCAGCTACACGATGGACACTGAGATGTCGGCATGTATTTGATGTAAACAGCCGTTGTCACTAGATAGGCTATTCTCTTCCCTTTGTTTGGGCATTTCGCCAGGTGGCAAGATCTCACTGAGATGTCAACATGTCTTTGATGTAAACCGCTGTTTACACATGGAGCATTCATTTAGAAAATAACAAACAAAACCAACAAAACAAAAGCGACCAAGGACATGTCCTCACACCCAGTCACTCTTATTCATAGACTCAAAACTTCGCTCACTACCTGACCAGCCAGCCGGGGTTCATAACGGTCGGTGAACCGAAGAGATCAAGCCTTTGATGTAAATGTCGGGTTGACTACTTGTAGCGCATTGATTAGAAACCCTATTTTGATGTAAGTAATTTTTACGCCTCGGTCGACACAATTTAGATCATTTAGGAGGCAAGCTTAGACTCGGGTTGATAGAATTCGCCGTCATAGCACAAGGACATTCGATATAAATTTCACCCCATCCGAGAATCGAACTTTAGCGTGCGGCTGAGAAGCGAGAAGCTCTTGTTGGCTTAAAAAAACCCAAACACAATCAGCAACTCCAACAAAGATACAAAAGGAAAGCAGATATGGACCCAGTTTCTCATCTTTTTTTTTTTCACTGTGCGAACCAATTTCAAAACAAGATAACAATACCATTTTCATTGATTCAAACCTTCGTTCACAACCTGGCTAGCTGCATACCGAACACTGAGGTTTTGACATGTCTATGATATTAAGCGCTAGTTACGCCATTCATTTAGAACAAATCAAATAGACCCACTGTCAAAACTAGACAACTATGTCACATTCATAAATCCAAAACTGTATTCTCTACCCGACAAGTCACACAACGGACACCGAGATGTCGGCATGTCTTTGAAGTAAACGGCCGTTGTCACTGGACACGCAATTCGCTCCCTTTGTCTGGATATTTCGCCAGTTGGCAAGATCTCACTGAAATGTCCACATGTTTTTGATTTAAGGTGTTCGTGATGTCTACATGTTTTTTTTTAATGTAAGCCGCTGGTTACTACACGTGAAACATTCATTTAAAATTCCTTTTCAGACGAACCGGTCTCCCTGGTCTAATAAAAAGAACAAACAAACAGGCAAACAAACAAAACCCGCAAAACAAAAGGGACCAAGGGACACATGTTCTCATTTCCAAACACTCTTGAATCCACTGTCAAAACAAGACAAACAATGCCCTATTCATGTATTCAAAACATTGTTCACAACCATACCGTCCAGCAAGGGTACATAACTGACAGTGAGCTGTATAGACATGTCTTTGATGTAAGCTGTTGGCTGACGACACATTCCGCATTCCTTACCACCCCCCTCCCCCATTTCAAACGAGTGAGTCTCATCGGTTCAAAAAACAAACAAACAAACGGAACCCGAAAAAACAAAAGCGACAAAAGTCACCAGGTTCTCATCTCCAGTCACAACAATGCCATATTCATAGATTCAAAACTTCGCTCACTACATGACATGATCAGCTAGCCGGGGTACATTAAGGATGGTGAGCTGAAGACATTATGTCTTTGATGTAAGCCGGTGCTTGACTTGTTGACAGACAATTACACTCATTAAAAACCATTTTTATACAAGGGTATTTTTACGTCCCCATCAACACAGGACCATTTTGGAGGCGGGCTTTGAGACCACTTGCCAGGGGCTGCTAGGGATAGGAGGATACAATGTCCCAACAAACAAGACAGAGTTCTGAGATACTTGATAAAAATTGTCCCTACATGGAATCAAACTCGGGTCTTCTCCCTGCGATGGCAAAACGCCTATCCGTTAATCCCATTTTACCGGTGCATTCTCTTTCAAACTAGTAGAACTACAACTGCAAAAATAACAACAAGAAACACAAAACAAAAGCAGCCTGGGTTCCCTGTTCTCACCTCCACACACCCTTTGACTCACTGTCAAAACAAAACAACGATGCACTATTTTATAAATCCAAATTTTCCTTCACTACCTGAACAGCTACAAAACGAACACCGAGGTGTTGGCACGTCTTTGAAGTAAGTTGTTGGTTAACAATACAAAGCACATTCATATAGAACTCCCTTTAAACAAGCACGTTTTGATGAAAACAACAACAACAACAACAACAAACAACACCACTCAAAACAAAACAAAACCCCACAAAAAACATACAAACAACGAAATCAATAACAGCACGAAACAAAAGCTGTGGGGGACTCGTATTCTCACCCCCTGAGCCCCTAAGACCCACTGTCAAAACAAAACAATAATGCCATGTTCAAAGATTAAAAACTTCCCTCAGTACCTGACCAGCTACATAATGGGCACTGAGATGTCGGCATGTCTTTGATGTAAACGGTCGTTGTCACTGGATATGAAGTTCACTCCCCTTGACTAAAAATTTCCCCTTGCAGCAAAATATCACTCGCTGTCCCCAGACAATAGACTTGTTAACGTCAGGTGCGAAAACCAAGCTCCAGAAATATTTTCTTTACCGGCAAGTTCTCAAAACACCGCAACAATGCCGTAATCAAGACAAAAAATTCGCTCACTTTCCAGCCAGCTAGCTGGGTATATAAGGGGCACCGTGTGTCAGCATGTGGTCACTTCAGTCTTGTCGTTCGAAGGATACGTTTGTAGAGTCTCTATCTGGATAATTCACATCGTATTGGATTCCAACAGTATCACTGAGTCTTACACGTCGTTCTTTTGGAGTCACTCTGCAGAATGGAGATCGTTGATCAGCGAGATGATATCTTCTACGCTTTCGACCTAGTGAGAGGCCCGCCCTTAGGGCGTGGAAGCTCGGGAGAGGTTGTTTTGGCCTCGGCCAAACACGACTCTTCGTTGAAAGTGGCAGTTAAGATAGTATATCTCGAGAGGCAGCTGTGGGAAAACCAGTTCGACGAAGAAGTCGCTTTACTTCGCCAACTACGCCATCCTCATATCTTGAAGATCGTAGCTTCCTCATGGAATTCGGCCTATGGCTTCATTTTGATGAACTACTACCAGAACGGGACACTTTACGACACCATGTCAGGACCTGTCAAAGGACCGAGGATGCTCAGACACACCCTGGATGTGGCGAGCGCGTTGGATTACATCCACACCCGCAACATCTTTCATCAGGACGTGAAACCGGAGAACATTTTCTTGGATACACAGGACCGTGCCATTCTCGGAGACTTCGGGCTGGCGATACGATTGAGGGACAGCGAGACCATGGTGGATGAGTGGGTGTCTACACCCGGCTTTTACGGACCCGAGACGCAGGCTGGTCGGCTCATGTGCCCATTCAAGGTAAGAACGATTTTCATTTTCTCTTTTACTATATCACACTTCTCATTTTTTTCTCTATTCCACTCCTAGCCCTCTCAATCTCCCTTTCTGCCTCTTGCTCTCTTCCTCTGTATTGCACCTCTCATTCTTTCTTTATCCCGTCGCCACTTGTCTTACTCTCTGCTTCTCCCTTCTCTCGCTCTTTCTTTCTATTGCACTTCTCTTTCGTTTTCTACCCTAGCACGATCTCTTTCAACCCCATTTTCTCCCTCCCCCCCTTACTGTCATTCTTAGTTTGGGATAACCTAATTTAGTAGCTTACTAAACAGAAAGCACCACCACCCGTTTTCTATTCTGTCAATTTTTCTTCTACCTTTGATGTTTACCCATGTTTCATTACCATACAATTTTAGAAAGCGCCATCAACCCTCCCCCCCCCCCTCTCTCTCTCTCTCTCTCTCTCTCTCTCTCTCTCTCTCTCTCTCTCTCTCTCTCTCTCTCTCTCTCTCTCTCTCTCTCACGCTCTATCTATTTCCTTTCTTAACTATTTCCCTCACCCCCCCTCTCTCTCTCTCATTCTCCCACCACCTTCATACATCTAGTTCGTCAATGACTGTTAATGCTTGCTCTTGTGTTAGATTTAATGTGTATGTTTGAGAGAGAACGAATGAGTGAGATACAGAGTGAGAAATGAAGACAGAAAGACTGTGTCTATATTTGTGTGTACGTGTGTGTTTGTGTATGTATGTAGGTATGTGTGTGTGTGTGTGTGTGTGTGTGTGTGTGTGTGTGTGTGTGTGTGTGTGTGTGTGTGTGTGTGTGTGAATTTGAACGGTCACATACATAATGCATTCATATTTATACAGTACTTGTATCATGTTATGAAGGTATTGCAGAGTGCCTAGAACTGTAATGTGAGTGAGTGGACGCTATAGAAAAGATAGTAATAATAATAATCTTCATCATCATCATCATAATCTTAATCATGATAATAATAACACTATCCTCTCCACTCTCGCTCTTTCTTTCCCGCTCCCCCTCTGTCTCTCCCACACTCTATCACTCACTCTTTCTCTCCTTCTCTCTCTTCCCCTTCAAATCCGTCTATTTCTTTATTGGTTGTATACGTGTCTGCTTATATTTGTTAGCTTTTATCTAAGGAGCGTATGTATGGCTATGCACGTGTATTGATATTAACATTATTATAGTTATTGTTATTGCTGCTGTTATTGTTATAGTTATTAATTCATTTATTTATGAACATGTTTCTTTCAAATCTGTTCTACAGTTCACAACACTGAGTCTCTTCCTCACCCCCCCCTTCCCTCGCTCTCTCTCTCTCTCTCTCTCTCTCTCTCTCTCTCTCTCTCTCTCTCTCTCTCTCTGTCTCTCTCTCTCTGTCTCGCGCGCGCTCTCCCTCCCCCACACACATATGTATCAGCAATGATGTCTCTTTCGCCCAACTAATCTCCCCACTGTTTTTCTTGTTTCCCTCCACAGCTGGACATGTACAGCCTTGGAATCACCATGTGGGTGCTTATCTATAATCGACTCACAGTCGACTTCGACCCGCTAGCCTCGACGGACAACTGCAGCAACATAAAGGAACCTTACAGGAGGATCCTACTCCAACTGCTGCATGAGGAACCCCGTCAACGCTGGAGTGCCGCGGATTTGTTGAGGTTCAGCGCATGGAATTCTCTCCGCGCACCACAGCAGCTGAGCACCCACTAGGACCCCCGAGCACCTTTGGATTTGGACTTCATCCTGACGACCACCCTTGGATTTGGACTTCATCCTGATGCTCAACTTTAACGCCAGTACAGAAGTGTAAGTAAGTCTAGTAAGTCTGTATTTCGAAGGCTGGAAGTTAGACTTTGACAAACGTCATTTTGCTATTTGATGTTTGTTGGAGCCTTTCACTCAGTCATTGATTTGTGTATTTGTTTGTTGATTTTCTTTTGTGTTTTTGTAATTTCACCCATGCGTCCCTTTGTCATGCTCTGAGTCCTCAGACGCAGCCCCCCCCCCGCCCACAGACAGGGGAGGTCAGTCTTATGACCTCAGTTCCATCTACCTGGGCGAAGTAGGGGACTGGCCAGTCTTGACTGACGTCACTCAGACAACATCGACATGGGCCGACTGGTGACGTGTTGCTCTTGTGGAAGGAGCGAGCACACTCACTGGAGGAAAGCTTGGGTTTTTTGGTGTTGCATGCGTGTTTGTCTTTGTTTGTAAGCATGTGTGTATTTGTATGTTTGTTTAATACTTGTATGCGTGGGTGTATTTGTTAATATTAGTGAGTGTATTAGCTTGTATATGTGAATGTGTTTGCTTGTGCGTGTGTGTATGAGTTTATGTATGCACGTGTTTTTCTAATCATTTCATTCTATAACTAGATAAGACGCCTTAGTTTTGGTTGTTAAGGTAGGATGTGCACCAGTCTCTAGTATCTAATAGTCCCTCTTTACTGTATTGTTAACCCCTTCTCTTGCTCAGGTGTAAGCACGCAAGTTTCATACCAGTCCAAAGGGATATATTTCAGTCTTTTCAATAATTGGGATTTTAAAGGAATTCGTTTAGAGAGAAGGAAATATTTGTATTTGTTGTTTCTTGGGGAAGGAGGAAGGTGGGGAGGGGGGAGGGAGGTGGGTTCAGTGAGGATGCTAAGCGGGAGAATTTTTTGTTTCAAACTTGACGTCTGGTAGTCTATGAGATAGACTGAGGGCCAGAGGGGAACTGGCTCTTCTTATCTCTAAACGAAAGGTGTCAAGTTAAGTTGTTGTTATAGTTAAAGTATTGGGGTAGAGTTTTCTTGACTGGCTATAGACTCGCGTGCTTTCATTGTGAGCCTCCTTCGTTTACTTGGCCCCGCCCCGTAGAGTAGAATAACACTAACCAAAGGTCACATGTAGCTGAGACTGAGTGCACAAAGTTTGGGCCATTTTCGTGTGACCGCTAAAAACTGTTAGGTCGTTGTCTCCATTAGGGAGTGGGAATGAGGGAGATGCCCACCTCGTGACTCATTTGGAGCAGAGGAAATTAGGTATTAAAAGAGTTTCAATTAACCTTTTACCTTTCCAGTTGTTCTGTGATGTATGCTGTGTATAATGTGCTTTAATTTGATAGGAACTCAAACCTCATACCAGTCGAGTAGGTTTGAGTTCATGTTATTATTTCATTTCCTTTTTTATTCAACTTTCATTAATTCATTTATAGATTGATTGACTGATTTATCTATTTATAAATTTGTTTGCTCATTAGTTTGTTTATTTTTTTGTTTGTGCATTTGTTTGTTTTTGCTGCTCTTTATGATCATATATATGTATAATTATTAATGCATGCATTTATTATCATTATTTTTACGATTATTATTACTATTGCTATTACTACTACTATTATTATT